GGTGGGTGGCGAATTGGCTGGAGGGTCGCACCCAGAGAGTTGTGGTAGATGGGTCGGTTTTGACCTGGAAGGGTGTGGGCAGTGGGGTCTCGCAGGGCTTGGTCCTTGGCCCGATACTCTTTAATGTCTTCATCAGTGACTTGGACGAGGGAGTGAAATGTACTCTGTCCAAGTTTGCAGATGACACAAAGCTATGGGGAGATGTGGACACGCCGGAGGGCAGGGAACAGCTGCAAGCAGATCTGGACAGGTTGGACAAGTGGGCAGAAAACAACAGAATGCAGTTCAACAAGGAGAAATGCAAAGTGCTGCACCTAGGGAGGAAAAATGTCCAGCACACCTACAGCCTAGGGAATGACCTGCTGGGTGGCACGGAAGTGGAAAGGGATCTTGGAGTCCTAGTGGACTCCAAGATGAACGTGAGTCGGCAGTGTGACGAAGCCATCAGAAAAGCCAATGGCACTTTATTGTGCATCAGCAGATGCATGACGAATAGGTCCAAGGAGGTGATACTTCCCCTCTATCGAGCACTGGTCAGACCGCAGTTGGAATACTGCGTGCAATTCTGGGCGCCGCACTTCAAGAGGGATGCGGATAACCTGGAGAGGGTCCAGAGAAGGGCCACTCGTATGGTTAAGGGCCTGCAGACCAAGCCCTACGAGGAGAGACTAGAGAAACTGGCTCTATTCAGCCTCCGCAAGAGAAGGTTGAGAGGCGACCTTGTGGCTGCCTATAAGTTCATCACGGGGGCACAGAAGGGAATTGGTGAGGTTTTATTCACCAAGGCGCCCCCGGGGGTTACAAGAAATAATGGCCACAAGCTAGCAGAGAGCAGATTTAGATTGGACATTAGGAAGAACTTCTTCACAGTTAGAGTGGCCAGGGTCTGGAACGGGCTCCCAAGGGAGGTGGTGCTCTCCCCTACCCTGGGGGTCTTCAAGAGGAGGTTAGATGAGTATCTAGCTGGGGTTATCTAGACCCAGCACTCTTTCCTGCCTATGCAGGGGGTCGGACTCAATGATCTATTGAGGTCCCTTCCGACCCTAACATCTATGAATCTATGAATCTATAACTGCTAAGGCTCCTAGAGCCACAGTAGCTGTTGCTGCTCCTGCCAACCAATTTCCTGCCCCAGAGGACAGAAGACATGGATCAGTGCTCTAAATCCAGCCCATGAAGCCAGAAATTTGGCAGTGGGATGGACAGTTGCAGCATTAATTGCTGTCATTCTGGGAGCCATGACAAGAAACCTCTTGTCCCACTGCCAAATTTCCAGTCCCATGGGGAGCCACACAGGCTGGATGCCACAGCTCCACAAGCCAAATGACATGGATTGGGAGGCCAGATCTTTGCCACCCCTGACATAATGAGACAAAATTAACATTCAGTCTCACTCTTCAATTACCAGAAACACACATCTGCTAAAAACATGCACTCTGATGGAAGAATCAATAAAGACTGCTTATACATAGGAACATGCAAAAATATCCTCAAAAACATAGCCCTTACTCAAATGTGGTCTGCTGAGTTCTTTTAATAATTATTAGACAGGAAAGTTAGTGAGAAGCTGTAGTCAGCAGAAGACTCAGTGTAATTCACATATTACATTGGTCCAACATAGTATCTACTCTCCCACTGGGCGAAGGCCATCTTTTTTTTTAGTTAAGTGGTATGAATGTTAAGACTATTCTTCTGTAGATCTGTAGCAGACTAGTTGCTAGGGACAATTTTTTATTGATAGTTTTATTCTGCTGTATGTTTTCTAAAAATTGTAAGTTAGGCTCAACTTTTAAACTAACTTTTTAAAATTTAAACATAAATATAAATATTACATAAATATTCACATGGGAATCTATCATCCTAAATTCCAATATTCTCAAAGGATATCTATGGCATTTCTATGCCTCCTGAGTACAGTAGATATATGCCACCATGTGGATGAAAGGAGAGACTTCTCTCTTCAATTTTAAATACTACAAATTTTTCAAGCTTTATCAAGTTGATAAAATAATCTGAAACCCTCCTAATCCTATGCCATTTAAAATACAAAGAAAGTGAAAAATGTATCCAGTTATGATTTTATAATACTGATTTGTAAAACAAGGTTGGACTTAAATGTTGAGAAGCTACACCTAAATGATGAGTCACAAGCTTTACGAAACAGGTTTAGTTAGCAATCTGTTTCTTATACAAAGTAAGAGCAATGACTAAAAGATGACTAGAAAGAGTAGGAAAGGCTAAATTCTATACCTGATGAAGTGTATAAGCAGGAAGATGAGTCTTCTCATTCAGCAGGCTTGCTGCCCTTCCTGTGGGTGCAGTAAGTAATACATTTAAAAGCTTGCGTTCATGAACATTATTTTTGTCAGAACAATGACTAAAGGTATTCCACTCATCTGTTACATCTTGGTCATTTTCAAAACTTTTACAAGCATCTTCTATTTCTTTTTCCATCTTCTGTAAATACTGAAAGAGAGAGCTAACTACTGTAGTCTTCCCACAACCCCCTTTTCCACTTATGATTGTCACAGGATTAGAACAAATCATCTTCACAGCATTCACTTGGTCTGGATCCAATTCTGCTTCATTTATGGGTTCTATATCTGGTGTCTGTTCACTAGAATTCAAATTATTGTCAGAGTTGTCATGACTATCTGGAATATGGCTTGCCTTCAGCTTCTCTGCTTCACAAAGCTGGTCATTGGATACTTTATCATCATCATCATCTCTTGCTTTTGATTTGTTAATATGACTAACATTGAGTACCTCTCGCACATCACCATGTAGATGCCATGTGGTGTCTGCTAGCAGATGTTTTACAGAACCTGCAATGTCTATTTCAGCTCTGTAAAGTGAAGCAAGAAATACAAGCTTTTTCTCACTGATCACTATCATCTCATCTTTCAAAAATTTAAGGGATTGCCAGGCATGCTCTATGGGCATATCTTTAGAAACCAAATTGGTTAATTCATCTTGATCTTCACAGGTATGTCCCCTATCTCTACATCTTTGCTTCAGTGCATTGTATATTATTAATGCATTCTTCTGCAATTCAGGAATCTTCCAAAGGAGGTGTTCACACTGGCAGAAAGCTCCCCAAGTTGCCTCACAATGGAAAAGACCTAGTTCTTGTGAAGTTATCTTCCCATGAAAAGGAAAAAAAAAAAAAAGGTTTTAAATTATTTTATAAAAGAGACACTGGTATATTGATGCAGGAATAATGATTTTTGCCATTAAATAAATACAAGCTACAATTCAAAAGATATGAAGAAGTCTAGAAAAATATATGGACATTTTTAAGAAATACTAGTTATTCTGCCTTCTCAAACCCAAGCAAAAACACTTTTCAAAGCAAAAGCCCTTCTTCAATCCATTTTTCATTCTATTGTGCAAAACTGAAAGCTTGTACCAACTCTTCCCCTTCCCCTGCATGAAACTTTTAACATAAATTGGATTCCAGAAGACTTGTGTATCAAATCTATATTCTACCCAAACTATCACCAAGTAGAATATAAAAAAAAAAGAATTAACATGTATAGCATTACAATACATATGTGCACATTAGAACAGAAATTATATTTACTGTGCTTATTTATTAAAAGATTTCCTTTGCTGCCAAATATTAGCAAAGTAAGATGAGATGGTTTTGTCTCATTTTTGGAAAGTTTATACTTAATTTTTCCCCTTTTTCTTCATATAGAAGAACAAGCAGAAACTTAGCACAATCTATGTATAAAGTTTTGGGATTGCTTCATTTGTATACAAATGGTACTGGACAGTTAAGTAAGACAAATATGATCTGGCCAGTAGACACTACCCACACCACAGGGCCTGATGAATCTGACACCCCTGATATAGCTCATATTCAAAAAAGCAAATGCTTATTTCACATTATGATGGAGAGCCTGTAAAAGTTTTGAGGTTTTTTAATAGCCATTTTGAAGTTACAGACTAGAAAGGCTAAAGCTGTGCTAGAGATGCAAAGTAATTGATTGATTTTCCATTTTAAGAGTTTTTGTAAATAATCCTACAACAAAATAAAACAAAACAGACAATCTACATAGATGCACAACACTCACTCAGGAATCATTAGTCCAAAATCCTGCACAGATGCAGAACTTGCTATTCCTAAACTATCCTGGGCAGCCACCAACTTAGCCTCTTCTTGAAAACCTCTAATAAAGATTTTATAGCTTCCCTCAGCAGCTTGCTCCATTTTCCCACTGCTTTTCCAGTTAAGAATTTCTTGTAATAATTTCATACAATTCCACCATGCTGTAGTTCAAACTTATTGCCCTGTGTCTCACCCTCCATGACAAATGAGAACAATTTTTCTCCAACTTCTTTAAGGCAGCCTTTCAAATACTTGAAAATTGCTACATTTCCCAAGCTTCACACAGGCAGACTAGGGCTGGACACCACCCCTTTCCCGACCTTCCTGCAAGGCCAATTCAGGACCAGACTACATCCCCTCTCCTCCTGCAAGTCTGGATCAAGGCCAGGCTGCCCTCCATGCAGCTGGATCGAGCCGTGTCATACCCATTCTGGGCACTGCATCTGGCCTGCCAGCCCGATCTGGTGCATGGCAGACCACGCAACACCTATCTGGCCTGCAAGCCAAAAAGGTTCAGCACCACTGCTATATGCTGTACAGCTCATCAATCTTTGCAGTTCTGTTCAAACAATACTTTTTTCCTCTACACTAACTCATCTAGCCTCAATAAAACTCAGCAGTTCAGACATAAAATATCTTGAGATCCTGCTGCTTCTAAAGCACGTGGTAAAGATTTTAAAAGTCACACATTCAAAGCTTTTGTTCCAATGTTATATTTCAGTTAACCAGCCTGTTGGGACCCAGAGGCCTTCAGGCCTGGGTTTTGACTTTGTGCTTCGCTTAAGCTGCGCGCTTAGCTTAAGCTGCGCGCTTAGCTTAAGCTGCGCGCTTAGCTTAAGCTGCGCGCTTAGCTTGAATTGGGGTTGAGACTTGCACCTGGTGAAAAGGAGCAGATGGAAAACACTGTTCCTGACTCTAAAAGAAAAGGGAAGCTGGCCAACTAAATTGAATAAATATAGCCTGGGCAAAACCTACCCCAGCTAAGAATGAAAATATTACCTCAGAATAGAAAATTCAGGTTAAGGGTAACCGTATTTGGCAAACAGAAGCAAGATTATTAATATGCATTAGGAGGCAGGCTTAAGCTAATTTTACGTATTAAGTATATGGTATATAAAGAGGTGAGAGTGTACCCTTCAGAACCTGCTCCTGAAAGATCTGGTCACTGATCCAAGATTCAAAACTCAGACGAAGGAGTCAGGACCTCTCAGACCGGCCATTCAGTGACACTGTGTTCGTTACACCTTGGTGTGGTGAGTATGTCATATTGCTTTTGACTAACTACAATATTAACATTCTAACTACTAAGGGCTTAATGCATGTTATTGGTTAAGGAGTAACTGTCCTAGTCTTGGAATTAAGACCTGGTACAAAGCCCAAAATAATGTTACTGGAGGTAACAAGCCAGAACCTGGATCAGAGGAGGTATGAGAGCTCTGGAAAAAAGTGAGACTTAAAAAGGAGGAGTTAGCTTCAAAACTTAAGCTATTGAGAGATGATTCATTTCCACCATGAGATTTTTCAATGAATTAAGAAATCATGACAAAAAAGTTTAACCCCCCACCCCCCATGTAAGTATACTGAAAAAATTAAAATCAGAATGATATCCAAAGCATGCACACATCTGCAGTTAATAATTTAACACCAATGTAGAAATCTCTCTGTCTCTACTTTTCCTCCATCTCATTACAATGATCATGTTTAAGGGCTCAGCATCTTTTACATGGAACCCCTGTGTTCCCCAAACCAGAAAGCAACATTCACTTTCTGCATGCAGTACACAAAGAAAATATAACATTTCCTTTAGTTTAAATTATATTGGCATTTTTTGCACAAGGAGCAGGAATAATGCTAACAAGATTAGATAAGGTATTACAGTAAAGTTACAGTTTAGGGCAGCTGCATAGAAGGATGCTAGGTAGAGACAAGACAGTGAAGAGCAATTTTCACAGGCTTACCTCAATACAATTAGTCAGGGATCACAGCTTGGAACAACAGTATTAAGTTCTATGATGATAATATAACATATCCATATAACTTACTGTGCTGAATCCAAGTTTCCATGGTTCATTCTTTAATATCTTATTCAATGCTATTAGCCTTTCCATTCTGTAAGAAGCATTTTCTCTCTCATCTCCGTTCATTTCACTCTTTCTACACCAATTCACTTCCTCCATGAGTTTGCAAAAATAACGTGGCAGAAGTCTCGGCAGGAATTCCAGTATCATTGGGAACATCAAAGCAATCAATACCATCTTTCCTGTAACTATATATTCATCACAAACCAAGTCTTTATTAAAATACAACCACAAAAAACATTTCTAGAAAGCAATTAAACTTCATTACTTAAATTAGCAGGCCTACTCTCAAAAACCTTAAATCCAGCTGTTCTTTAGTTTTCCACTTCTTGCATTTCCTTTCCTTAAAGTCAAGTTAAAAGTGCATAGCCAACTTTATTAATAATCTGAAAACATTTTTACAGACTATTGATATGAATAACTACATTTACTCAAATGGAGACTAGGGAAAAAACAACCCTATTTTTCTGTTTTGCTGACACTGCATTTGATAGGATTTTATATATAATCAGCTTACACATATAGTCAAGACTGACCCTACCAGTTTGTGGAGAGCTTTCATACAGAAGAACAGAAGAGAACAGCATAGCAGAAAGTAGGCAAATATTTTTGTAAACTCTAAATAACTGGTAGGGGGATTTGGGGACAGGGAAAGGACCAGAAACTACAGGAGAAGGAAGGGAAAAGACACAATGGCCATGTCTATATGAGCCAAGCAATGGCTTTTTTTGTGATGCTGACTTGCCGTAGCTCATGACTACTGTACAGTAGCATCACATTATGATTCCTGCCATATAACACTACTGTACAGTATTCATGGGCTATGGCAGTCAGCATCTCATGTAGAGGTAGCCAGTGTAGCTTAGTGGAAAGAAAAATCAATAGCTACTTTGGAGCATGAGGTACTATTTCCTGATCTACCATTAGCCTACTAGACAACCTTAACCTTGAGTGGGTCGCTTCCTTTCTGTGCTTCAGTAAAATGAGAATAAAACTGTCCTTCTTTGTAAAGTGGTATAATATATGCTCATGAAGAGAGAGCTAAAAAAAGCCTATGCACTCCCTTAGCAAGTAAGAATATAAAAAAATTACCTGATATTTAAAACTACTGTAAACTGCATCAATTCAAATTTTATACATCAAACCTCAAGAAATCAAGCTTTCTGATCAACTGCCTTCCCTTGAAGAAAGTAACTCTCAGATCTTTTTTCTCCAGCAAGTTCTTCGAGGCAATTGCTCAGGCTCCAAGAGAACAGCACTCAAAGCTATGGAATTCACGACCCAAAATAACAAATTATTTTAGGTTATTAAAGAGGACTAAGAGGACTGTGAGGAAGATCAGGAGGAAGGAGCATAATTTAGGGCAAAGACAACTTATGTTGGATATTAGGAAAACTGTAAAGCTGGTGAAGCTGGAACAGAATGTATAGGGAAGTGGCCAGTGGTGTCCCTCAGGGGACCATGCTTGGACCAGTGCTTTACAACATCTTTATCAATGATTTGGATGGGGGAGTGAAAAGCTCACTGGCTAAGTTCCCAGATGACACCAAGTTATGGGGCAGTGTGCCCACACCAGAAGATAGTTTGCAGATACAGGTTGACCTGGACAAGCTCAAGAGTTGGGCAGACCGGAACCAGATGAAGTTTAACACTTCCAAGTGTAAGGTGCTCCATCTGGGGGAAAACAACCCTCAACATATCTACAGGCTCAGAGGTGACAGCTTGACTTGCACCACAGCCGAAAGGGACCTAGGGGTAATGAGTGACCATCGCATGAACATGAGCTGTCAGTGCGATATGGCCAGCAGGGTAAATAACACACTGGCATGCATCAACTGACACATCTTGTGTAAAGCCAAGGAAGTGATACTCCTGCTGTACTCAGCACTGGTGAGAGCGCAGTTGGAGTACTGCATCCAGTTCTGGGTGCCGCACTTCAATAAGGACATGGAAAAACTTGAGAGGGTCCAGAAGAGAGCCACCCGTATGATCAGGAACTTGCAAGGAAAGCCATACGAGGAAAGGCTGAGGGACCTGGGCCTCTTTAGCCTAAAGAAGAGAAGGTCCAGAGGGGACATGATAGCAGCTTACCGCTATATTAGAGGAGTGCATCAGAAGCTCGGTGAACAACTGTTCACTAGGGCACCCCTGGGGAAGACCAGGACCAACGGATACAAACTCCTGGAACGCCGCTTCAGGCTTAATACAGGAAAAACTCCTGTTAGTCAGGGCAGTCACCTAACCTGGGGTCACTTGACCCCAGTTGTCTTCCTGCCTAGAGCAGGGGGCAGGCTGGACACAATGATCTGCAAGGTCCCTTCCAGCCCCTAACAATCTATGAATGTTATGCAACCTCCTTCATTGGAAACTCGTCATAAGCTAAAAACAGATAATCAGTTTATCTGAAGCCAACTCCCATCAAGACAGTCTAGTCATTTACACCACATGCAGCTTGAATGGCAACTAACTCCCATGATTAATAAGCCCCAGTTCTCCCGGAGAAAGTGTTGCAAAGTTGTTGAAAGTTGGTATTTTAAAGGTATTTAGGATGGGATAGTGGGCATGCAGAATAAAAGGTTTTGGGCTGAGGAGGAGGGGGAACTCTATCATCTGTTTAAGTTTAAAAGCAAATTTCTGCCTGGGATGATCTAGGTATATTTAACCCTGCCTGCGTGTGGAAGGTTGGGCTAGTTTCTCTCAAAGTTTCTTCCAGCCCTATGCTTCTATCTTAAAAAGGAAATCTCATTAACTGGCACTTATATAAATCATATCACCTGAAACATGAATCATGTACAGCTGAATGTGTCACATAAAGGAGAGCTGAACAGAGTTGAATCAGTAGTTCTGAGATAAATAAAAGTTTATTGGATGAATCTGTGTGTTAAATGCCACCCCCCTAAAATTGTTTTCTCCCTACCTTACTCCTTCATGTCTCAGGTCATGCAGACTTACGTACATGCTCAATTTTAAACAGGTTTCTGGAACTACTCACATGCCTGAAGCTAAGCATGTGAACAAGAAAAATCTTTTGTAAAATAAACATTTATTTAAATGCACTGTGTGTGCTATGACATTAGCCTGAACAAAATATCTGAAAACAAAAACTTCAATATTTTTATGTGAGAATACATAAAATGTACTTACACGAGTTCCTAACATAAACAAAGATGTCAAATTCTTTGGTCTCTCTGGGATTTTTTCCTTTCTTAAGTTTTGACTTTTGAAACTCATCTAGTATTTCTTCAAGATTTCTGAAGTCCAAAGATGCATTCGCAGGAAGCCAATTAAAAAATGCTAGTATAAAATCATCAGGAACTTCACAC